CGCTCCCGCTCGCCCTTGCCATCCCTGGTGCCCTTTGGATCGGGACGGCGCGGGCGCAGCAGGTGACGGGCGGAGGCAGGTGGCGCTTCCGATCCAGTGGGCGTGGGGAGGATGAGGGGAAAGGCGGACCGCGGCTTCACCCGCTTTCTCCCGGCCCTGGCGCCTCCCCCGCTCCCAGGCCCCCTGCAGAACCCGCTCAGCTCCCGCGTCCGGCCCAGGTAAAGGCACGCAGGGTCGCCCCTCCGCCGCAGCCTTGGGCGCTAGCGACGCTTTAACTTGCCCAGAGAATTTTTTGGAGTTGGAAGCTTTCGAAGCTCCTTGTGGACAAGGGGGAAATGTACAAATAGAAATTGGGCAACAGAGGTTGCATCACGCCCCGAGAGTGGCAGATTCCTGAGCGAAACGTTAGCGAGGCCGTGGCTCTCCGGGAGGTTTTGTTTGCTTGGTTCAGGATTCTCCCCCACACACGTACACGCACACACACCTCTCCTTTCAGTTTGCGTAACCTACCTAGATTTGGGTCACTTGGGTTTCACTTTTGGGCCTGTGAGGCCGGAACACCTTGTGAGCATTGCTTTTCTCCTCCTGGTGTGCTAAGGCCTAGCCAACCTCACTGAAATTTAGCTCGAATTTGAATCCTCAAGAAGAGACCCGAGTTACAGCCTGTGGCTTGTGTGATCCTACAGGGACTGTGAGTGCAAAAGAGGGCGATGTGGGTTGGCGCCCCGTTCAGAAGGCCCCTGAGCTAGGAATAAGCTGCCGGCGTTCAGGAGAGGCTATGGGAGGCAGATCCCTTGGGACAGGAGCACGTGCAGAGAAGTTTTCATCTTCAAAGGCCAGGTGTCTGCCTGCCTCTTTGAGAAGGTTTTGCTATGTGCATAGCCACATCCTATCTGTGCTGGAACTTACAGAATGCTCATGGAAAAAGTCCTTTCTAAAACTTCAGGTACAAGTTAACCTCCTCCTAATCAGTGATATACAGGAGCTCTCAAGCTTGATGGAATGAATGGTCATATGTTTCTAATACCTATTCCGATATAGCTATGCATGGATATATGTAGAGAGACATTTGTGTGCCTGTGTAATTTTTTGCATATGCAAAGAAAGCTTATCCATGCTGCCCAGTGAAATGTCGTCCTAAGAACCCCCTGTAGTCATGTCACATTGTGAGGAACACTGCCAAATTCTGAGTGGGGGAAGTAAAGGTGAAGTGTTCCATTTTCCTTCCCCCCCATGCCCATCTTTCTCTCTCCCTCCCCACTCCCTCTCCCTCCCTCCCTCTCTCCCTGTAGCCCAGTGACTGGTTCTCAACACTTACTATACTTAAAAACTTGGCAGCTTTTAAAAATACTGTTGCCACCCTGGATCAATTAAATCAGAAACTCTGGGGGTGTACCCAGAATCAGCTAATTTTTGTATTTTTTTTTTTTAAAGTTACCCTGGAGATTTCAAGATTGAGTCGTGTCTGGGAACCCTTCCTCCAGATTCTGTAGGGAAGAGAGGAAGAGGGGTTGAAAGGAGGGCAGAGAAATGGGAGGAGAAGCATCAAGGTATATCGTGTGCAGATACAAATTCCCCATGATGAGTGTGATCATTGTGTATACAGAAAGTGTACCGATAAACTTAAGAAAAGGAACAGGTGCATTCAGGACTTGCGAGAACTTCTGCTGTTCCCTGGCCCAGGAGGGGAGCCAGACCAGCACAGTATCCAGTCCTTCGGCTCATCTGTTCATTCCCTCTGGTTACTTCCCCTGGACACGAGTGTCAGACTCTGAGTTGCCTAGAACACTGTCACCTTCAAGTGCCGTTCAGTTCGCTTCCCTCTTCTCGTGGCGAACGTTTTTGTAAGTTTGGATCGCAGACCTCCGTGCATTCTGTTACTTGCTTTCAAGCTCCCACCATTCCCCCTCTCCATAGAAAGGAGCAAGACCTTCAAATGGAACTATGGACCTTCGAGAAACAAGAGGCCATGTTGGAGCAGACTTACCTCCCCCTTGGAGCCTCTGGAGTGGTTGGAGATGTTGCATTGTGTGCTTCAGAAAGCCAAGGGCAAAGCCTCCTGGTTCCGACATCTCAGGTTCCACCCTGAGGGGTGCCCACTGAGAGCTAACTGACCATTTCCAAGCACCTTTGCTGCCCGCTCTCTCGCTTCTGTCTCACTTTCTGATCCTGAGTCATAGCCTCCCATGGCTCCTGGGCAGAAACTCTCCTCCCTATAAATTCAGTGCAAGAACTGTCCAGCCACGTCCCGAATGCTTGGTGATCTGCAGCCTGGGGACCGATGACTTTGGCCCCTGCCTGCGTTTCTGGGTATCCAAACTCCTCCATAATTTTGATCTTCTATTCAAATCCATCTGTCTGGATCAGGATTCAAGATTCAAGATTCCATCCTCGATGGCCTTCAGTTATGCAGATGTTCAGTAATGCTGCTGCCGGTGAAGATGGACGGGACTATCAACAGGAGGCTGAGCACTTGAGACTGGGATCTTGGGATTCCAGCCCCAAACTAACCAGTTAACTTTGTTCAAAGGGTTCAATCCCTGTCTTTCTTATTGTACTTCATTCTCAGTCTCTCAGGTATAAGGCATTTGTTGAACAGACATAAAAACACATAATGCCAGCCTACCTGAGACAGGTGAAGCAGTATGTGGCACTCCCAACAAACAGAGACTACCTCATCCTCACATACATTTTTTTTTAATTTTGAGGGGATTTGTTCCACTTATATAGATATCAAAATTGTCAGCCCTTTGGCCTTAGCTACAGTCACCAAGGCATGCTAAGAGTTTTATACTAAGTTAGTATTGCAAAGCCAAGACCAAGTCTTTTAGTGTAGGATGGAAAACATCACTTGAACAATTATAATTTTCAAAATCTCTGTTTCCTGAATGGTTTCCAAATCATTCATCAGATGTTCGTTTAATGCCCCCTGAGCACAAGGAACACTTCTGGGAGTGAGGGTGCTCAGTCCTTCCTCACTTGAGAGCCCCGATAACCAAGCTGAGAGGATTTGCATGAAAGCACTACCACTGGGGACAGAAAGCTACAGGCGGGACGTCAGCTGCAGCTGAAGTATTTTCCAGAGTGGTCTATAAGAAAATGAGGCTGGGCTTCTTTACTATTGCACCAGAGAAGATGTTCAGACTTCCTGTTCTCAATGAGAGGATCCTGTAAAGTGCATTAAAAAATTAAACACTATACAGCGTTAATCACCAAAACACATAAATGCCATTATTGGGTGTGCTTTGCACTTTCAGTGTTTAGGCACCTGCCTCCATTTTTCATTCAGGTCTCTCCATATGACAGACTTTGCAGGACTCTTGTTCACTTGCTTCTAAGTGCAGGGTTTGGGTGCTACAGATGATTTTCATTTATTTGACATAGTAACATAATTAACAGGTGCCTGGGCCTTCTTTTATGTCCTGGGAACAGCATGGGTAATATAATTCTTCAGAAGGACTTGCTGCAAGGAGGATTATAAAGACAAGAAAGAATTACAGTATTATATATGAAGTGATAAAGTAGACTCCTGAAAATCTTGTGGAAAAACAAGGAAGAGAATATCTGGCTACCAGAGAGACCAGGACAGGCAGCATTAATGAGGTGGTGACATTTGAGTCCAGCCTTAGGAGAAGGAGCTCCATAGACAAAAACAATGGGAAAGATAATTCCAGTTAGAAACTTCAGAGACAAGAAGGACGTGTAACGAGACAAGAATGGTGTGACGGGTCTGGCAGTTGTGAGTTGTTTAACCTAACTGCTTGCAAGATGGCAGAAAGGAAAACAGCAGACAGAATTCAAGTCATGCTTTGCTGAGAAATGCCAGGCTAGGGCTTTGCATTTATTCTGTCTCTGAAGGGAGCTGCTGCAGGAGGGTGATAAACTTGGTCAGGTTTGTATCTTGTAAGTCTTCAGTGAAATTTTATGGTAGAACAGGGAGCTTAAAGCCAGGTATGGTGGTACATACCTGCAATCCCAACCCTCTGAGAGGCTGAGGCTACAGGATCACAAGTTCAAGCCCAGCCTAGGAACCTAACTGAGACCCAGTCTCAAAAAAGTAAAGAAGACTACGGTGTAGGCCAGTGTGAAGGTTCTGGGTTCAATGCCTGGAAAAATTGAAGGTAGAGAGATCAGTGAGAACCTGAAATAGGACCAAAGAAAGGAGAAAAAAATGAGGGAGAGAGAGAAAGAGAGAGAGAGATGGATGGAAGGATTAGGACACCCTAAGGATACAAAGTCTGACAGGCTCCCAGATCATACTGGATTAGATTTACATATAAGATGCAACTGAGTGAAAGAATGGCAGAAAGTGAATGTTAAAGAAGGAATAATGGGAGGGGCTGCATAGCACACAGGTGCCATCACGCGGGTCAGTCTTTGAAAGGGGTTTCAGGTTATTTTCAACTACAGCCTTTGACTCTAAACAAACGCATAAATATTCTGATGTCTAGTTTCTCAACCAGAAATTAAATTTTGATCACAAATGGACATTGTTTGTTTGCAGTGGACAAGAGAGTTCAGGGACAGGTTTGCCTCTCTACATGGTATTCCAGCCAATAAGTAAGAGTTTTCATTTACATGTATGTTAAAAACTGCCAGCTACTTGTAAAAGAGCATTTCAATTTTCCTGAGACAGTAAAGCAATGCTCCTGCCAAAGCGTACCATCAGCAATCATTTGTCCCTGTGAAAATACAAAGAATTGATATTTGGAAAACTGCAAACCAAGTTGTTGAAAGGATTGACCTTGAGCTACCTAGGAACAGAGCAAGGAGAGGTTTGCTTTGTACAGCGCAAGAGAATCTGCCTGGGCTGAGGGCTGTGGACAAGGCCTGTCTCTGCTGATTTGCCTGCCTAGAAAGGACCAAAGAATGATGAAGGACAGGAAGCGGCCAACCTAGCATCACGCACGTGAAATTCTTTGTAAACGCTGTGATTGTCCTGAAGAGCAAACCAGACCTTACGTGAGATCATGCCGCCAGAGCTGCTGCAGTGGAGAAAGACAGCTTTGGTGTGGATATGGCCTTGCTCAAAATGTCATCCTTCTCTCCAGGTAGCTGCAGT